ACGGTGTGGTGCGTGATAAACGCTAAGCCACCACCATTATCTCGCTCGCGATCTCGACGGTGCACGTTGTACCCGGCGCAATTCAACAAAGTTGAATTGCTGTGCAACTTCGTATCTTGGACCGCAGCTATCAATATACCATGCCGACACATGAAGACGGTTATCTCCTCAATCTTGCTCTGTAACCCGTTGCAGTTAAATTGAAGGAGCTTCATGTGGTTCGGGAGACGTGTCGTGATGTGGGGTGTAAGGGATGTGTGTGTTCTCACCGCCGTTGGCTGTGTGCGCTGCTGTGATGGTTGCCGCCCTGTGGTGGTGGCGGGAGGCGTCGCAGTTGAAGTCTGCGACCGAGCAGCGCAACACGGGCCCTCGAAGTTCCCAGTCCAATCTCACGTGGTACGCAGACCTGAGCATGCCCTAAAGTGGCACCAGCCAAGGCAGGTGTTGCACTTGACTGATGTCACATTACGGAATATCCTGGTCTGACATACCGTGCAGATTATAGGGGGAACCACGAGTTGGCGGCGGCGTGTGGGTGGTGGTGCGGTTGTGTGTGTTATGTGGTCTGTCGTGGCTATGGTATGGTCTGTGGTGTTATTATGTTGATGTGTTGTGGTGACTGTGTGAGTCTGCTCGGGTGGACTGAGGTTAGCCGTTGAGGCTGCTCTGTTTGAGCAACAGGGGGCCACGTACGACGTGGTCCACTGTCGGTGTGTCCGTAGTCCTGAGCAGACTCTAAGGTGACTCCACCCCTCGCAGGCATTACACTTGACTGAGGTGGAGCTGTGGTGTAGTCGTCTCCGGCATACAGCAGGTGTAGATTTCTGGCCCTGGGTTTGACTTGATGCCAGCCCTGAGTAGAAGTATACGTAGTGAATGTAGCCCTATGGACGAACAACTTCTGAGATACTTCGCCGACCTAAACGGGGTTAGATCGCCGAAACAACAGCCCTTGGTCGGGTAAAACCCGAGTCATTCCGGTACGTAGAACCGGCTGTCGTGTGAATGGACGTTCGTTGTTGTTGTTAACCATTTAACTTTTAATAAAATTATAACATTTCATTAAATTCATGCTACCTGATCATTTAAGCAGAAGATTTCATTATTCCACTCAAAGATGTCGAATAAGATGAACCTGAAAATTAATGCATAATCTCAAAAATGGGGTTGACGAAACTAGGTTTCAGAACGGATGAAGAAAGTAATCAAAATTATACTTATGCTAATTGCTTATCGGAGGGGTGTCTGCGCAAGCCGAATTCAAGTTTTTTGCAAACATTGAAATTTTAAATTCGAAATTTGTTGAAGCTAATGGTGATACGCTAATCACAAAGCCAAATTTTTTGCAAAATCTGATGAGAAATTTAAAAGTAAATTTTCACGAATTTCATCACGAATCACGAATTTCATGTGAACAAATATTCCCAAAAGTTATAAAGCAAAACAAAAATTATTTTCCCAATTTGTTTTTGTTTTGCATGGTAAGTAATGAGATCAATTTATTCACATGGGATTGGCGATTATAAAAAGATTTTATTTGGAAGGAGCATTCTTTAGAATCAGATTTTTAAATCGCAAGACTGCATTCAAAATAAGAAAATGAAAAAATAACTACATAATGCTCTCGTGATGGGAAAGAAAATACTCCGATTTATTGTTTTAATATTATCAAAGTGGCAAGGCCGTTGAGAATACTCACAATTTATGAAACTTCGAAAAATTTTACTATCCGTCAAAAGTTGTTTATTGAAACAACCTTCTTTACTACCAATAATAAGGGTTATGAGTGATTTCAATGTTTTATGCAAAGTATACAATGTGAACATTTTTGACAGCCAGCAATAATGGAATGGGCATATATTTCTGTTGAAAACAAGGGGGCCTTGTGCTTTTTAACCGGCTTCCAAAAAAGGAGGAGGTTATCAATTCGTCCGAATATTTTTTTTTTTTATGTATGTTACCGCATAACTTTGGACCACGTCAACCGATTTCGATAATTCTTTTTGCATCGGAAAGGTAGGGTCTCAGAGGTGGTCCCATACTAATCTGGTTTAGATCCGACCATTAGATCATGATATATATTTTTTTAAGTCGGTTTTTTTTGCTAGAAATTACTTGTTTAACAGAAATGTTCAGATTATAGTTGAAACTTTGATGACAATTTTTTAATTTCCTAAATTTTGTTATAAAGTTTGGCACTATGACTTTGGTTAAAGCTTGGAAGATATTTTTATAGAAAAATAACAAAAAGAATTTGCTCGAAAAACACTACTATTTAAAAAAAATCAATAAGTGGTCATTTGTTTGAGTCACTATATTTGCAATTATGTTTAATAAGGGGTTCGGTTTAGTTATTTGTACGATTTTGGGGTGCTGAGCCCAAACGCGTCACCCAAATCAAAAAACTTTTATACACTTGTAGACAAGAGTCTACGCTTTATTTGCTCTTTTTCGGCAACGCAGAAAGGTGAATTCTACTTAGTGAGGGTTACAATAAATTTGCGAAAAATCTACACCTCCTCCCCCTCCGCCACCTACCACCACAAAATCGTTGCACAAATAACTTAACACTTCCCCACAATAAGTGTACAACTACCTTTTCTACTATTTCCTTGAAAACATCCGCGACACATTCATCTCCTTTTGCAGATGCTTCCAGGAATAGAGCTCTATGTTTGCGCGCAAATTTGAGTCCCTCTTCCCGACTAATGATTCGCTCTCTGTCGATTTTATTCCCAACTACAATAGTGGCAATGTTAGGATTATCACTATAGTTTTCAAGCTCCGCAAGCCAAGTCTCCAACTTAGCCAAGGATTCACGGTTCGTGACGTGATAAACTAACACAGCTCCCAAAGCCTNCTTTCTATAAAAGCTTGGAGTAAGACTCCGAAACCGTTCGGCACCAGCAGTATCCCAGAGAGCCAACTTATATTCAAGCCCATCAATATTCACCACTTTGCTCTTGAAATCCATTCCAATAGTAACATCGTAGTTATCGTCAAATTTATCGTGTACGAATCGACGGATGAGGCTGAAGATAAAATTTAGCGAGTAATTTACATGCCAACAAGTAATGTAAAATTCTTTTTGCGACATCATCCGTTTCAGTTAATCGTCGTAAAACCGCGTATCGTCATTCTGCAAAACCGCGTAACTGACATTGGCTGCCAAAAATTGGATTTGCTCACACAAGCTCTTGGCTCAATCCTTATCCATTCGTCCTGAAATATACCCACCAGAAATGCGATTGCTTTATAAAAACAGAGAACCATTTTGAAATATGAGTGTTTTTAAGCTCTGGAAAATAATTTCTACATTACATACGCAGTTTTGCATTTTGCTGATACGCGGGTTTGCATTTTGTTGATACGCGGTTTTGCACTTTAAACGGTGTAATAATTTTGCCAGATTTCCTACCTTGATTTTCCAACACCGCTTTCGCCAATTATCAAGAGTTTTATTGTTGTATCATTCATGTCAACTATATAATTCAAAGATTCTATATTATATCAAAACAAAATAATATATTTATCAACCACAGTATATGGGCTCTGTCACGTCAGTAATTACCCCGATATTTGGATCGCGATCCATATTGATGGATTGATGGATCGCGCACGAATGCTACATGTTCAATATTTATCGCGTCAATATTGATATAAATTTTTGTGCTGAAAGCTTATTATAACGCAAGAAAATATTTTTATTTTGTACGTATAATTTACAGAATGTAAATGTACAATGTAAATTAAAATTTGTTTTGCAAGATTTTAAGCCCCGAGAGCGAAGGCAGAGCCGATGTTCGCATTATGAGAGTAAAAGATGTACTGACGAAATGTATGGATCGCGTTTTGAAAGTGCTACACGTTCAATATTTATTGATGGTATTGCGATCCGCGATCCAGATTTCAAAATTTTTGGAAATTTTGCGATATGGATCACGATCCATCAATACTGCATGCTACACCGTCAATAAATATCGAGATACTAGGATCACGTCAATAAATAATGACCGTGTGACAGTGCCCTATACCTCCGTATATCCAGTAAACAAACTTACCGGCCGTCTTCACGTGCTGGCAAATCTCGCTCGCATGACGACGCATGCGAGAAACCGCACGTGTAGACAGCGTTGCCAGGTTGACGTTTTTAACGTCATTTGGACGTTTTTTGT